ACTGGCTCCCGAACCTAATATTTGTTTTTCATATCAAATTCAATCAAGTGACCAATCACACCTAACAAAAAAGATTGGTGGTGACTCATTCTAACTCATGTCTAGCAGTAAGTCCATGGATCTATACATTATGACACGTACTATATTTTTCATGTGTCTATTTTGAAAAAATATGTCTCTAACCTAAGTCATGTGGTAGAGTATGAACCTTTAGAAGTTTAAGAAGATTTAACATACTTGGAATATCCTATTTGAATAGTTGATTGAAAAGAACAAGTCTTAAGGCATAGAACTATTCCCTTTATAAAAGTTCAATGAAGCAATCATACACCAAGATAAGCAACTTGGGAAATGGAAGATGATATGAAGAAATAACATCCTTCGTTATTCAAAAATGAAGGTAAATCAAGTTTCGATGATTAAACTTTTTATAAGTTGGGAAGAATGTAATACCTATAAAAAAAAAGGGACTATTTTAAGTATTTTTATAAGTGGAGAGACTTTTTAATAAAGAATGAGAAATGCAGAGGACCTATTGATAAATAACTTATTTTTTTTAATAGGGTTAACTTATTTTATAGTTTTCGGTCGACGACTAATCGAAAGAAAAATACAAACTTATTTCTCATCTTTTTCTTATACAAAAAAGATAAATCGAAAGATTTTAAGTGAAGCGTAACAACAAAATCTATAAAGAGAATTATCTGTCAGAGGTGAGTAAATAATTTTCTTCAATTTTAGAAAGTTGATTTTTAAATTTATAGGTGTAATTTGTAATTGAGAAACCCTAAAATTTTAAAGTTTTCATTATCCCTTTTCAAGATTAGTTTAGGCAAATAATTTAGATTTTACTTAAAGTCAAATTAAGTGTTCAGAAAGTTGGTAATGTGATTTTATTGCTATAAAAATAGGAAACAAAAATTTGATGGGAATAGATAGGAAAATTTTTGTTTCGTATGAACCCTGATATGAACCTTGGTGGTTACAATGATTGATTAAGGTTATATTTTATATTGAAAGATTAAATACTGCTATGATTATTATATGTCATTGGAAAGCTTGCTAAATTTACTTTCCAATGAAATAAACGGAAGTCAATTTTGAATTTTTTATGACGAGTAGTTTAATATTTACTTAAGGATGTGTAGGCTACCTAGCAGCAGTAGCAAGGAGGAATTTCAAAATTCTTCTTAATTTTTATACAAAGATTTATAGATTAAGCCATATATGTTTGGAAAGCTTAATGAGTTTACTTTCCAATGAAAGAAGTGGAATTGAATTTGGAGTTTCCTATGAATAAATACGTAATTTTTAGTAGAAGATGTACAAGCTATCTAGCAGTAGCATTTGACATGGATTGCAAAAATTATTATAATTAATCTACAAAGAATCATGAGATGGGCCATATATGGTTAGAAAGCTTATTGAGTCTAGTTTCTAACACATTAAAAAGATTTTAATTTTGAATTGGATATCTTGAGATATGATCATTTTAGTAAAAGTAGCTTAGGCTACCAAAATTAGTTTTGAGTTAATTCTTGTTTAACTTTATTGTTTTGGTATAAGTGGTCTCAGATGGGATGATTAATTATTGTTATGTTGAAATTATCTTGAATAGGCCTTTAATTATTTAGGAAAAAAAAACTAAGTGGTGGAATCAAAAAAAGGTAAGTAGAATCTTATACACTTTATTTGTTTTCAAATCTATGTATATATGTATGTTTCTAAATGAATGAATATTTTATTTCATTATTTTCAATGTATGAAAATATGATCAATTATTTTGTGTTTCTCTATATAAATGATGGATCATGCTTACGAATAAAATGAGAAAATAATTTATGTTTAAAAAATAATTTAATGATAGCTACATTTTTACATCCCTGAAAAATGGAATCATCAACACCAGAACTAGTTTTACGGTCCTAGCTAACGGGTAATAGTAGTTAGCATAGACATGATCATACAGCCCTGCTAATGGGTTATAGTAGTTAGTGTAAAGCCCTGGCTAATGAGTTATAATAGTTAGCAATGATCATAAAGATGAAATTATCGATACGACCAATGTCACGAGTTATGACAGTAGCCATAGCTAACGATAAACTAACGATGAACTAATGATAAACGAATGATAATGATGATTTGTGATGAATGATTTTTACAAATTGATCCATGATTTAGTGACATGTTTGATATTGATTTATAATCTATGAATACTTAATAGAATGCTGATTTTTTAATTATTTTTGACATCATGAGTTGATAAATATTTTTGAAATAATCTATATCGTATGTATGAAAACGATGCTTGATCCAGTAAGGTGTATAAGCCTATACTTGCTGAGCTATGATTTGCTCATTCTACATTTTTGTTTCTTTTATAGATGATATGAATGATAAGTATAATTAGTCTTATGAGGATCTAGAAGAATCTGAGCATTGAAAAACTACTTAGATAATAGGATTTTATGAAGTATTGTTTCTTTTAGTTGTAATACTTGACATTGAATCTTTGGAGACTTGTTATTTAGTTATTTTACATATATTAAAACTTTTTGAGAACTTTATTTTATTTAAGGATTTTTCAATTGTTATGGATTAAACTTCGTATTATTTTAGGGTTTTACTTCAAAGAAATATAGCCGTATTATGTCTCGATCTTGGGGCGTGACACTATCACCCCTCTTTTGCTCATATCATTTTATGTCTGACTCAATCTTTAATGCTCGCTGTAACAAATCCTTATAGTAGTCAATACTATAAAAAAACAAACGAGATCAAATATTGGGCTTTAAACCATGCTCGAATTGTATAGCTTTGTTCTGATCCAAGTCAATGATGTAAATGTAGAAGTGTCCCAAATCATTCTTGTTAGCATACTCCAACATAAGCATATTGTGCTTTTGTTGCAACTGTAGAAACTCATTTTCCTTTTTCACTTTCATCGACTCGAGAAAATATTGATCAAAAAAATTTTCTTTAAACTTTTCACAAGTCAAGGGCTCACTTGAATCTTCAAATATGGGATTTACAGTATCCTGTCAATACTCAGCATTCCGCTCAATTAGGTAACAATTAAGTTCAACTTCAAATCTTCATGAATTCTCATCATCTTAAAGAGTTTTCTAACTTTTCAACTTAAGCCTTTATAGCTAAAAAATTAGGCCTACCTTCAAACTAAGGTAGTTAACCCTTCAAAATCGTTCATATTTGTCTTACGTTGTTGCACATTTTCTTGTGTTTGTTGTTATTTTTGCATTAAATTAAATACCACCAGACATACTCTAACTAAATTATTTTGCTTCATAAGAGCATTAGGAGCGTGTCCAATATCAGTTTGCTCCACTCAAACATTGTTGGTTTCATACTCATTCTTTCTTCTGCTAGTCTTTTTTTCATTTTACTAACAAAGTTTGCCAATGTGTCATTTCTATCATTCATTCTTACTTATAATTAGTACCAACAAAAATATTTTGTAAGCAATCAAAATGGAGTAAACAAATCTTATTGAATAATATGCCAAAAATACTTAAATTTTACACTTAACTATATCTAGGTTTTTCTCTTTCTCGAATAATGTAATGCCTATATAAATAACAAATGGACCTAATTAAGGTATGCTATGATTAGGGGGGTTAATATTATAAAAGTCCATAATTGAATATTTCTTAATAATTAAAGATAAGATTAGGTTGTTTTGTTTTTTCTCTCTTAATAAACCAATTCTCTGTCGACAAAAACAAGAGGATCACATTTTCTCTTTTTCAGTTAAGGTTAGAGAGGTATATAATTTAAAGCTAAGCATTAAGACTAAAGTTTACAATTGGATTAATATTTCAAAGGTTAGGTACATGTCTCTACAATTGGTATCAATGTTATTATCAACCAGGAATTAAATATTACACTTTGGGAGCCACCTTTATAATTTTAGTGAGTGAAAGCTAACTAATATATGGTGAGCGTCACTTTTAAAATCTTAATGCTTAGTATGGTTTTGATTTTATATTAGGCTTGATAAGTACATCAAGCTTTAACAAGGAGAGATTATGACGTTCTAATCCCACTTTGGTTAAATATGAGGATAGATATGATATATAAATGTAGACTTAAACCCAAATTTATTAAACATTTTTTGTGAAACAAAACTGTAAAATTTTCAAATTAAAATGAACTTAATTTCGCAAGTTAGATGTGGATTTCTACACTTTGATTAATTAATTGCATCCTAGCAACCTAACCTTATTATTTGAAACCAATATGTATAATCGATACGTATGTTTATATATGTACCAAGAGTAGATTTGTTCATGAATTCGGTGATATCAAACCTGATTTGGTTAGGTTGAGTCTTGAATAAAAATATTTAAATTCAAATTTGATTTTGGTTGGATTTGATTTTAAATATTATTTTATTTAATTTTAACTTTAAAATATATTTAAAAATATTTAAAATTTTAATATAAAATACTTTTTGAGTATTTTTATAATTTTTTAAATAAATAAATTTAATTTGACAAATTTGAATAAACCGAAATTTTACATTTAAAGATATTAATCAATCCTAATCCGTCCATGTGTAACTTATGGACACCTCTAATCGAGAGCTTTGGTATCAATTTAAAAAAATACTTTGTTAGACGAATGACAATCCCTCTACATATGCCCAAAAAATTGTAGTAAATATCGATATGGGGATTCAGCGTATGACTACATTTATAACTTGATCAGTCTATAACACTTTGGTCAAAGCAACGTATACAAGTAATACTCTCGGGGTGGCTCAAATACCATTTGTCCAAGGTTAGGATAGGTCCTAAGTAACAGCAAAATTTCCATCTCAAATTTTAACTCAACTTCATTATTCAATAACATCATATATATATATATATATATATATATATATATATATATATATATGTGTGTGTGTGTGTGTGTGTGTGTGTGAGTATATACATCAAAACATAATCTCTACATATGAAGGGCCATGCAAACACCTTAAAGTAATTGTACATTTAAACGCACGATTATTTAGAAATTTGGGTTATTTCACATAATCCAAATGTTTTAGTTTGAAAAATGAGTAGGCACTATAGCCTTTATTTTAGAAATTAAATAAGTGATATGTGATGCATAATATTACAGGTCAGATGCTTAGAAAACCCTTCTCCTTCAAGCTCTCAATACTGTCCCTCAGACTCACGACCAAAGGAATGAAGCTGGCAACCAAACTTTTTGCTTTCTCCTTGGATACCTGATAAGTTTGCTCAGGAGGCTTGTTATGATCTTCATATCTGTCGTGAATCAAAATGTGGACTCGGTTATGTATATATATAAAGCACTCTCTCTCTCTCTCTCTATATATATATATATATATATTCCAATTTCGATTTCATCTTTATCATTGCAATTGGATACAAATTTAACAACTTTCCCCTCCTATGTTTCCTTTGTCTATGGTCCATTTGGGAGTCCCATTGGAAAGCTCCCACCCCAAAGCAGGGTGTGTTGTATGGCTGGACCCTTTAATCGGGCTACCGAATGCAGCCCTATTATGAAAAGTTTTCACATTAGACATAAGTAACATGATTTAACTATCCAGCTCACTTTATTATTGCACCAACTTACCAAGTTAACAGACAAATGAAAGAATAAACAAATGGTAAAATCACAATTAGAACTGAAAAAATGACAGTTTAAATTGCATACTAGCATTTGCCAATGGGAGCTATAAGTGACAGTAAATAGCCAGATAATAACAGTTGCTTACGTTTCATTCATTTGTAGAGTAGGGTAAAGTTCATACAACATTTTCTGAACCTCAGAATATGGTACACTTCTTTCCACTAGGCAATATCTGCCACAAGCAGAAGGATCCTCGAATGCTTGAATATGTGCATGTGCAACATCTCGAACATCAACAAATGTACAAGTTGAACTTGGGAAAGAGTGTTCTCCTGCATCCAAAAGATTTCCACTGTTTTTGCCAGAGAAATATATATAGCTAGCAGAGACAAATCCTTTGAAGGATCTATGTCATCTAAAAGGAAATTGTTGGAACATTTAAAAACTTATATGTTTTTTAATGGTTTCTCAGATGAAATATAAGTTAGGAAAAATAATTTCTCATTGCATTTTTCCTTTTGGAAGGTGGCTGGATGGACCAACAAATATGAGATGAAAGGTGCATCAAATCTTGGAGGAAAGTATACCTTTTATGAGGTTTAGAATCACCTCTGATGAGGAATTCAAAGCTGGCTGTAAAAGAGGACCAAACACCATTCCTGGATGTATTGTAATCAAATCGATTCCATTGTCTTTTGCAAACCTCCAAGCAGCCTCCTCGGCTAAGGTTTTCGAGAGCATATACCATAGCTAGAAAAAACCAATAGATTTTGCAGAAATAATACAATGGATCCCATCATTTCAAAATGCACATGCATGTATCTTTTTTTTTATCATCTATACCAAATCAGATTTCATTAGAGGATCAGATCAAAAAGGTATCTCTTTGTGAAATATGTGATCAAAAAGAGGAAAGTTCGGACAAGCATTGAATCAAAAGAAAAAAATTGAGAAATTACATTGGCAGTTCATGCATAGACGATAGATCAGTGAAATTCACCAACAGTGAGATTAGAATAAGAAAACCGTACTCATTTCTTGTGTCAACAGACAGGATGAACATGAGCCATGAAACTTGAAATAGACTGATCAATTGCTAAAAATTAAGGCAAGTTAAGAGGTTAATTCACATAATTGGTCAGCCTATATCTAGCTAGCATCTTTGGCAAAGATGATTATAAATTTATGAGATTACAAAATTGTAGAATCTTTTTAAAAAAATATACATTTAAAGTGCACACCTTGCCTTCCTCACATAGAAGTGGATCTGAAAACCAAGTCTCATCAACAACCACATCAGGAGTCAAAGGTTTTCCATTGCGTACGACTGAAGACATGGAAGATGTTATGACAACTCTCTTGATTGAAGCAACTTTGGCACATGACTTGAGAACATTAAGTGTGCCCTTGATGGCCGGACCAATTATTTCTGCCTGAAATTGGGAGAAGCAATGAAATGGTGGCATAAAAATTTGATGATAAATAAGTAATACTAGGCCACACCCACACATCATCTTACAATGACATCAAACAATGGTCAGATCACATAGTTGTACCATAGAACAAAACTCTATCACATTAAGTGGATTCATCATGATTCATGAGTACCAAAATATTAAATTTGTAATGCACTCCTAGTTCAATCAGCCGACAATGGAAATGTGCATGTTATAATAAGTATTCAGTGTTGTATTTGAACTGTCCCCAAGGGAATACCCCATTAGTTAGGAATTTGAGATTCCAATTCGAAAGCCTCGAGTACAAATTCTAAAATCGGATAGAATTTTAGCCCAAGATCTATATGTATATAAAAGAAAAGTACTTCTTTTGATTTTTGTTACGTGAAATTTATCAGAAAAGTGGAAACATATGTAAAAAAGATGGACCTGTGGATCAGCAGCTGAAAGGAAGACAGGGGATGCTGCATGGAATACACCATGGCATCCATCTACTATAGAGTCAAAGCATCCTTCATCCACCAACTCTGCTTTGAACAAATGAAGTCTTTCCTTAGCTCCATCAAGTGAAAACAAATGTTGTGTCTTCCTTGCATCATCTGTTGCATGTTTTCAAGCATGAATCTTTAATATGCCAAAACAAGTAATATGACAAACTTAAGGGTTGAATTGGATCAAACATTTAAAACCAACTGACAACAAGTGAAGAAGTTTCAATTAAACTGAAAGATTAAACCAAACATCCCGTTGACTTTTAAAACCAATCAACAGTAATGAAGAAAGTTCAAATTAAGTATAAAATCACATTAAACTCAAGACTTAATCGAGTGAGAAAATAAACAAATTAACATAAGATTCAAAATAGAAGAAATTAAGAGGAGCAGTAGAACTGACTTGGGTCACGAACGGTGGCCTTGACAGTGTAGCCACGTTGGAGTAATAGCTTAACGAGCCATGAAGCAATGAAACCAGATGCTCCGGTTACACACACCACCTTCTCTGCTACACTCATCGATCGCTCTCAACTCAAAGTTCATATGCTGGAGCTGAACTCAGTAGAATTCAGCTGAACTTTAATAACTTTGAATACATGATTTGTCTCCCCGATACACATGGGGTTTTTGCCACTATAATATTAAAAAACAAAATTGCTGTCAGGAGTCCCTACTTTTATTGTTTTTTTATACTATAACTTTTATGCTTTCCAGTAAATGTTATTAACATCAATTTTTTAATAGATTTTTAATACCGCAATTGCGCTTGCCACTAACCTCAATTATTGTAACCAACTAGAATGTAAGTCACCAAACTTGTTTGGCATTAAAAAAAAAAACGATATATTGACTTATCAATCAGCTGAAGCCCTAGCTATACTTTCCTTCGAGTGTACTCAGAGACATGATGGGTTCATAATTCCCAATCACTCTAATAGGATAAAACCTGGTACGATGAATAATTTTGCAATAAGTACGTACCTAGTTTTGGCTCAGACCAGAACATAGACATATTTCTATCACCTTGCTACTGTCCAAATTCTCATCATAAAACTGGCATTCACCATGTTCAGGATCATAAAGAACAAGGGCTTGAAGAGTAATGGAGTAGATAAAAATTTGCTGATGCACTTCAATTTCACCCTGTAAACAAAAACCACTACCTCCCCAGTCTTTCCAATCTGTCCAATCTAACAAGTTTTCGAATTAAGATCATAAATCCTACTCCATGGAAACTCTTCTTCGTCATGAGACCTCCCACCCATCAAAAAAAGGTAGGAAAAAAAACTAATCCCAGGTTCAAGGCCCATAATCAGTAAATGGAAGATCAAAGAGTAGCAGCATGCCAGCAACTTTACCATGTAACGTCCTATCAAGAATCCCTACCTGGTGAGGTAATTCAAAAACTTTTGGTCCTTCATCCGTATCCTGAATCAAGTATCAATTGTTCTTATATTTAGTATTGCCAGAGTTATCAATAGCGGAAATCGCATTGGCATAAATTTTTTCTTTTGTTTCAGTAATGGGCGGATAGGCCTAGGAATACATAAACCTGTTGATGTCTCTGCCTCTTCATAGAAGAATAGTGAGTATTGAAGAAGACCCAGAATTAATTGAGTTCAACATATGCGAACAAAATTGAATTAAGAGACAAAGAAACGGCTGTGTTGCGCTCCCTAGGGATGAAACATAGAGCACAACAATACAGGGTAGTTCTAACCCTATTATCTATTGTGTTTGCTCTGCTTCGATTAACAAAATAATGAAATATAGTGATAGCTTGATTGGATCTAGAATTTGTTCATGAGTCGATGGAGTAGGATCAGATCGGTTGACACTTCTAAAATTTTTATCTAGTGTAATCTGTGTCCTAAAGAAAGAACGTAAAACAAATCCCAGAGATTATGGAGAAACTATTTGATAAGTTTGATGGATATTTTCTAAATGTTATATCAAGTTGAATGATACATTTAAAAGTATTTTATAAGTGTTTTTTTTTTTTTTAAGAAGAAAGAAAGGATTCATTCATTCAAGAAAATGCATTACAATCATCCAGTACAGCGTCGGAGATAAAGTCAGGGTGTTCCTCTAACCAGAACGTACTCTCTGATGCCTCTAGACTCTTTTTTGCCAACTTCTTGGGCTGTGCTGGACATGACAAACATGAAATTGATTCATTTTTTCCTTTACATCCTCTGTGATATTCCCTACTAGTGACAAATCAGCCTGTTGTCTAACAAGCGATTTGACATCCCCTTCAAGAGTTATCCTCGTGAAACCCATTTCAGCTGCAAAGTCCAATGCCAAACAAGCTGCTCCGGCCTTAGCGTGAAAGGATCCCCCTTTGTCTGATATTGGAATGGAAGTTGCAGCTAACACTACTCCCATGTTATCTCGAATCACTATTCCAGCCCCTCCATTCTGGGATTGTTTGCTTATGGCACCACCAAAGTTGACCTTGACTGTGTCATTTCTGGGAGGCTGCCATCGCGTCTGTGTATGATGGGATGCAGTGTTTGTAATCTGAATTGCTTGAATTTCCGCTACATATCTCTGGATAAAAGTCAACAGGTCCTGCAAACTCCTCTTTTTTATTCCCAAGTAGTACGTTGTTTTGTTCGGTCCATAGTGCCCATGCGGTTATCATACGCGAAGGTAAGGTAGATGACATGCAAATCTTCTGTACCCATTCTGCATACTCATTGCATCTGTCTGATCAATATGCAAAGCTTCCTAGACTTGGTTCGCAAGCGGGCATATCTTGATGGCATGCAACACAGTTTCATCCGACGCACCGCATATGTAGCACGATTTGTTCACAGCTAGTTTCCTCGTGAACAAGTTCACCATTACCGGTAGGAAGCCATGGTAGACTCTCCACATCAGTGCTTTGATTTGCTTGGGATTTGACTGCCCACATTGTGGTCCACATTTGTAGATTGTTTGTGCCTGCTGTAACTGGGGGAAAAACCTCCTACATTGCTTTCTTGTATCAACAACTTGTAACCACTTTTGACAGTGTAGTGACCCTTGTTGTGGTAATGCCACACTAGTTGATCAACTGCTCCCATTCTTGTTATTGGAATAGAGCATATGGTATTTGCTTCTTCAGCCGAGAAAATCTGATTGATTAGCTCAATTTTTTATGGTAACCACTTGTCCTTCCAGATCCTCGCCGTACACCTCTCCCCTATTCTCCACCTTACTCCTTTCTTTAATAACCCACGGGCTGCCCATATGTTCTCCAAGTGTATGAAGGATTACTACCTAGTTCTGCCTCCATAAACAAGCAATGTGGGAAATATTTGGATTTGAGTACAAGGTGCACCAGGCTACCCATGTATGCTACAAGGAGCACCAGGTTAACCTTGTTTCCCAAGCATTGCCTTGTTAAATAGTTCCATATCCTGAAAGCCCATTCCCCCATTGGATTTTGGTATGCACATATTCTCTCATTTTGTCCAACTTCTCCCTGTTTCCACCAACACTTACTGAATATTCCATTCAGCTCTTGAAACAATCTCTTTGGTAGCATGAAGTAATTCATAGAGTAAACTAGGATTGCCTGGAGGATAGCTTTATGAAAATCTCGTTACCTCCAAAGGACAGTCTCCTATAGCCCTACCCTTGCATTCTTGTTTGGATCCTTTCTTTTATTTCTCGAAAAACCTTTTTTCCTTCCTCGACCAACCATAACTGGTAAACCAAGATACTTTCAAGGATTAGCCGTTGCATCAATGCCGAATAGATTCTTTATCAACTCTCTTTGCTGGATATCAGTGTTATTACCGAAGAAAAGAGCTGATTTTTCATAATTAATTTTTTTTATCCGAACCTTGTTCATATGGCCTTAGCATGTCCCTCACCCTTTCGCCTTCGCTACTATTCGCCTTAGCAAAAAGTTAGCTGTCATCTGCAAAAAATGAGTGGTTTGAGGTCTATTACGGCTAGCTCAAACCCCTTACACCAGTCCATCTCCTTGGGCTTTTGTGCGGATTTACCGATAGTCCTTCACAGCAAAACATAAAAGGGTAAGGTGATAATGGGTCACTTCGCATGAGGCCTCTTCCTGGATAGAAGAAGTTAGTGATCTGGCCATTTACAACATTTGAATAGGACACAGTTCAGACACACTTCATAATAAGTGATACCCAACGCGGATTGAACCTTAGCCTATGCATCATTTGTTTCAGAAAATTTCACTCAACCTTATCATAAACTTTACTCATATCTAATTTTAGAGCAAAATGATCAGTTTTACCAGATCTCCTATTTTCATAGAATGAAGAAATTCATAGGCCACCAAAATATTGTCCGTGATTAATGGCCTCAGGACAAAAGCGCTCTGGGTTTCAATAATACAATGAATAACACAACTTTAAGTCCATTGGCAACGGTTTTGGCAATGATTTTATAGAACAAGTTACAAAGACTAATTGGCCTAAACTGGGTCACCTGTCTAGGTTGTTTGGTTTTCGGGATTAGGATAATATTAGTGTGATTAATCGCCCTAAGGTCATCATTTCCATTTAAAAACTATAAATAGAAATTAATCACATCGCTACCTATAATATGCCAAAATTTTTAAAGAAAAGGGCAAGCAAACTGTCTTGTCCTAGTGTTTTTGTGAGGTGCATCTGTTTTAAGGCAGTGAGAACCTCCTTAACTCTGAACTCAGATAGAAAAAAGTCATTTATCTTGGTTGAGACTCGGTTTCCTATTATTTCGAAAATAGCACCACATTGATTTTGCCTTGAAGATTGAAAGAGTTGTTTGAAGTAACTAGTGTATGTTTTGAATATCTTCCTCGGTCTCACACGATACCCCCTCATCATTATCCAGCCTCTTTAACAAATTCGTCCTCTTTCTTTGAGATGCCTTTGCATGAAAAAATGCAGTGTTACGGTCCCCTTCTTTAAGCCATTATTTTCTTGAACTCTGTGCCCCAGAAAACCTCCTCTCATTCAAACGCTTTGTTTAACTAATTTTGATCTGCCTCACCTTTTTCATGTTCTGCTCATCGGCCCCACCATCATTTGCAACTTGGAACTCGTTGGTAAGTCTCTGCACATCATCATGCATGCTCATAAATTTTCCTTTGTGCCACTTAGCTAACCATTTGCCCATGCTTTGCAACATCTCCACGACAGTCCCACTGTTTGAATTACAGTTTCCTTCCCACGCCGCATATACCTCTTGCTCACATTCTGCCTTTTTCACCCACATTGCCTTGAAGCAAAATCTTCTTGGTTGCCTATTAACTGGTCTTCTATGAAGCCTTCCTTCTGTATCCACCAATATAGGACTATGGTCCGACACCGATGGTGTAAGATGATGGACTATAAACGTAGGAAACTGCTCCCACCATAGCTAATTCGCTACCCCTCTGTCTAACGTTTCTCTTACGTTGTTCTTAGGTCAGTTGCCTCTCGCCCATGTATACCAAGTACCTTGAAAGCCCAAGTCTTCCAAACTGGCCTTCCCTAACACCTCCCTAAAATCCTCCATCTGTTTTTCATTTCTAAAGCAATGGCCTGTTTTCTCATGGGACCACATGATTTCGTTGAAATCACCAACACACAGCCATGCCATATTGTTTTGTGATGCTAGGTTTCGAATTA